TCGCTGTGGCTGGCGTGGCTTGTCCTGAGCAGCAGGGCAGCTGCCTTCGAACAGGCGCTGTGGGCAGCGGGCGCAGAGCCGTCCCCCAGCCCCACGAGCAGGCAGCAGGGATGCACAGGCGCATGCTGCAGTGCAAACAGCTTTTCCTTCCTTCTCCAGACACCGTTCCAGCAGCAAAGATGGCTCAGACAAACCCTCTGCCTGTCCCTGTGGGCCCATGGAAGGTATGTCCTCGCACACCCTGTATCTCGCCTTTCCCTGCATGCAGGTGGGGGACAGGGAGAGGGGCAAAGCCAGTCCTCTGGGGCCAGGAAAGCTGCACAGCGGGCAATGAGGCAGGGGGGAGCACAAGAAGCAAGGCACCCCTGTCCTCTGCCCACGGGAACTTGCCTCCCACCTGCTCAAACACCTCCCGGGTTTTTTTCATAAGCTTCTTTTAGCACGCTGGCCCAGCCGTGACCTGCTTTTGCCAGTCGTCCTCTGCCAGGCAGTTACAGCAGTCCCCGAAAGCCACATGCTGTTATTCGCCCTCCCCTGTCAGTGCAGCAGGCTGGCAGGGCGGGCAGGGGCAGGCACGAGGGCTGCAAAGGGGGTGGCGGGCACGGCGGAGCAAGGTGGGGAGCAACCCCGAGGGGTCTGGTGACAGCTCCGGGGACACAGTTTGAGGAGGGAGCCGAGAGGGAGAGGAGAAGCACGTGCGCGAGCAGGGCGCACCCCGCTGAAGCCTGAAGCTGTTGCGGGAGAGGAGAGTGTCAGCCGCAGCCCCCCAGGGAATTCCCCCTCGCCCTTTCCCCCGTTAATCCTCTTTGCCCTAGAGCGTTCGGAGCAGGGGCCGGGAGACCCGCCAGCCACAGCCCTGCCACCCGCCCGTCCCAGAACGGCTCCGCTCCTCTCTCCAGACGGCACCGCTGCCCCAGGAACTGATCTCCGCAGGGGGGAGCAGGAGAGCGGAGCGGGGGCCAGCGTGCGGCTCCCCCGACACCAAGGCAGGGCGCCGCGGGGCCAGCAGTGCAGGGACGTGCGGAGGCGTGCGGGGCTGCGTCCCAACCCAGAGGGGTGCCCGGTGCAGCCTCCGCCGGCTCTTCCCTGGACGGAGCACGACCCTCCGTCTCGAAGAGGCGCTGAATCGCCTGGGGCCACTGCCGGGCAGTTCCCAACTCGGCAGCTCGCTCTCCGTTCCAGATCACCGTGTACGACCAAGAAAACTTCCAGGGCAAGAGGATGGAGTTCACTTCAGCCTGTCCAAACATCATGGAGTGCGGCTTTGACAACATCCGCTCCCTGAAGGTGGAGTGCGGCGCGTGAGTACCCGGCGGCCAGCGGTGGGGATGCTTTCCCAGGTGTGCTGGTAGAGTTGAGGGGTGCCTGAGCGCGGAGCGGGGCTGGCTGTCCTCGCTCTGCTCAGCTGGGGGAAGCCAGGCACGGGGGATCCCACCCTGCCAGGGTAGAGCAGCCAGCCCTGGGCAGCACTGATGCAGACACAGGGCCAGACAAAGGCGGCAACGCCTCTGGCATCATCCAAAACTGCCTCCTGCAGTCTGGGAGCAGCCAGGTTTGGAGCTCGCCGGTGCCCCGCAGGGATGCTGCCCAAGGATGCAGTGAAGATCGGTGCTCAGCGAGTGGCTCTTGAGCTCAGCCTGGTCCCCATCTGCCTGTGTAACCCCATGAAGCACCGTGCCTAAGAACGACTTCTGGTGCACCAGGGCCCAGCCCTGCTCTGCCCCGTGCTCTCCCCGCACCGTGCAGCTCGCCAGGGCCAGAGCGGAGCCTTCCCGCAGCCTGCGCTGGGCTGCCCCGGTCGCTGACAGGGGTAGGGAGCAGAGCTGGGCTTCTCCCTGCACACGGGCATCTTCCCCGGCGCAGGCAAGACATCTCCCGAGCTGCTCCGAGACGCTGTGTGTAAGGAGCGGTCCCCACGGCAAGCATCCCGCTGGGGCTGGGGAAGCAGACAAGATAGATTTGCGCTGCTATATTTAGGATTTGTAATGCTAATGGGATTACAGCGGCATGCGTGCTCACGCCGTAATCAGCTCACTGCTCCAGTTGACGTGTTCCTAACCAGGCTGGTCACCTTGCACGGGGGTAGGCTGACTGCGGGACACGGGATCGGGGCTCAGTTTGGGTCAGTGGCAAGAGGCCCTCGAGCCCCCCGGCTCAGCGTGCCCCTCAGCACCCCACATACCCCATAAGCAGGGGGTCTGTGGGCTGCACAGCCTGTGCCATCCTCCTTCCAGCCCCCGGCCCAGCCTCTGCCTCCCCGCTCCGCTCGGCTGCGGCTGTCCCGTCCCCAGTCCCTGTAAGGGGACGTGCCCAGGAGAGGTCCCCACCCTGGGGACGGGCAGGCTCTCGTGCGGGCAGCACCAGGGCTTGCAAAATGTCCCTTGCGGGGCGGAGGCATCCCTCTCACCTCTCCATGTTTGTTTTCAGCGGAGAGGGGGACCCGAAAAGGGGAAAGGCAACAGCTCCCTGCCCTGCCCGCAGCCAGATGGGCTCTGCCTGGTTTGGGCAGTAGGAATTCAGGTCTTTCCAGCTGTGCCAGGTTGTAATTGGAAACAAGTAAGAAATGAGGCCTTTGGGAGAGAAGGGCGGCCGCCGGTGTCCTGCGGCATCCTAACGCGATGCCGATCTGCGTAAATAACCACAGAGCAGTTAGGGGAAAGTGAGCCATCCTTGCAGGCTGGGCCCCTTGAGGGAGGGACCCTATCACCCGCCGCAGCCGGGGGATGCCGGCACTGCCATGCGGGCGGCCTCCCAGGCACCAGACGCGATTACACATCCAGCACCGCTTCCTCCCCTCCCGGGCTTGCGGGCAGAGGCCAGACCCCCAACCTCCTCCTCGCACCTACATCCATGCCCCGGTGCCAGCCCCGAGCAGGAGGCCCAGAGCTGCCGCAGGAAGCCCTGGCAGCCTTTGCTCTGTTTTTGCAGCTGGGTTGGTTACGAGCACACCGGCTTCTGCGGGCAGCAGTTCATCCTGGAGAGGGGAGAGTACCCACGCTGGGACGCCTGGAGCGGCAGCAACGCCTACCACATCGAGCGCCTGATGTCCTTCCGCCCCGTCTGCTCCGCTGTGAGTGTCCCGGCTCCCACAGAGCTCTCACAACTCCGACCCCGTTAAAATGTCCCAGGCAATAGCACCAGGCCAAGGCAGCGAGGTTAGGAAGGGCGAACACAGCCACGCCAGGGGCTCTGTTTGGCAGAGGCTCCTCGGGGTGGGCTCAGCTCTTCCCCCCACCATGCCCAGCAGGACTTGCTGTTGCTGTCCCGTTTTCTAAAACTTCTGAGGGAACTTCTGGGCCAGCTGTACGTGACCAGAGCTCGGGGACAGCCAGCCTGAGATGGTAGCTGTGGCATAGCTGTCACTGATGCCTCCCAGGCCAACCCCTGCCCCATCCTGGCCCAGCGCCACCCCACTGAGCACCTCCACACATCTGGGTTTTGGGAAAACCAGCCCCCCCCCAAAAA